CAAGGTGTCAGGCCTAGATACCATCTGGAGGCTCTGAGAAGAGTCCACTGCTATCTTCTCTGAGGTTGTTAATAGAAATTGGCGCCTTGCCAAGATGGAGCTGATGTCCCTGCCTTCCCTCTGGCTGTCTTTCAACTAGTTCCTAGGACTACTCTCAGGTCCTTCCATGTGGTCTTCTTCCTCTTAGTAAAAGAGACTCTCCTTTGTGTCATATCTTCATCTTTCCTCACATCTGTTTTTCTCTTTTGCAACCAGCAAAGTCATTTTGTTTGAAGGATTCCTGTGGTGTCAGATGGGCTTCCTAGATAATCTCTTTACCTTTATGTCAACTAATTGATTACCTTAATTACATCAACATGAGCACTTTTCCATGTAATGTAAGAGACCATGTGGATAATTCCAGTACTTGGTCTACTTTGTTGTTTGTGTTTAGGTGCTAATTCCAAAATCTTTCATTCCAGATTCTCTTTTTGTTGAGTAGTTTTTTTTCCTCCAGCATTCTCCGTGTTTGATTTGCACTGAATTCAATACAGTGTAAATGTAACATAGTTATGTGTCTGCATTTTATTGTCACCCTTTAAAAACTGTCCAATTTTGTTTTAGTAGGCATGAAGGTACTTGTGGATCGAAATGATCTTTTCCAGGCTTATTCTAATATTATTTCTAAGACTGTTTAGGGTGAGTGTTTAGCCCTTCTACTCAACTGCAACTTTTCTGGGCTCTCTTTTATTAAGTGCTCCATGTCCTCAACTTCTATTTGGAGTGTCAGAATCCAAAAACTGATCTTCCAGTAACTTAATCTTAGCCTTTATAATGTGTAATATTTGTCCCTAAAACTCCTTTCCCCTCCTATCAATCCTGGCCCTAGAATAATGATTGGCACATTTCTGCATGAACTAGTCTTACACAGAAATTTGCAGTCCATATTCTCAAAAAAAAAAAAAAAACAGAAACAAAATGGAATCCCCAAGTCATCTATGAAGGACCAGATTCTGTGTACCCTGGCTAACTGTATAAAGATGAATAAGATACTGTAGAAACTGAATGTGTCATGATTTGTTGTTGTTGTTTTTTGTTGTTGTTTGTACTGGAGATTGAACCCAAGGCAACCACTGAGCCATCCCCAGCCCATTTTTAGATTTTATTTAGAGAAAAGTACTCACTGATTTGCTTAGGGTTTTTCCAAGTTGCTGAGTCTGGCTTTGAACTCACTATCCTCCTGCCTCATCCTCTGAAGCTGTGGGGATTACAGGTGTACACCATCATGCCCAGCATGTGTGATGATTTTCCAAACTCAGCATCACATTCTGGTTTCTCTAGTAACAGAACTTGCTTTCTTATACTTTCCCCCCAGTATTAGGATAGAACTCAAGGGTGCTTTACCACTGAGCTACACCCCTTATTTTGAGACAGGGTCTGGCTAAGTTGCCCAAGCTAGCCTCAAACTTGCAATCCTCCTGCTTCAGCCTCCTGAGTTGCTGGAATTACAGGAAAGTGCCACCATACACAGATAGAGTTCATTTGCTGTGTAATCCAGGTGTTTATATTTTCTGGCTATAGAAAGAAGGTTGTGCTTGTGACCTCCCTAAGCAGCCTATGGCAGTGGCCACAGTTAATGAATTAAGAATGAGCAGTTGACTCCAGAAAGTCCTATTAAAGTTTTCATGAAAGGTTTATCAAGTTCCTTACAGTTAGAACACCTTAGGTTTAAAAACTATTTTGAAAACAAAATCATTTCAAACAGGTGTGATGTATGCACCTGTAATCCCAGCAATTTCGGAGGCTAGAAAGGAAGATCGAAAGTTGAAGGCCAGCCTCAGCAATTAAGGGAGGCCCAAAGCAACTTACTGAGACCCTGTCTCAAAATTTTTAAAAAGCAAATCCACTTCAAAATACACTAATTATTGTTTGAGTTCCAAAAACTGTGCATGATGACTAAAAGGGTAGTAATTTATCTGCCAGTATTCCTGCTCTGCCCAATTTAGGTTTCAGTCACTGTCAGATAAAGATGGTGTGGAATGACAAAACCAGTTCTGATTCATTCAACACATGAGTGTATCTTAGGCACAAAACACCATTCACAGCATTGTCCCAGGTAAAATGATAAATAATCCCCAGCCCTTACCCTCAAGGATCTTATAACTTGGCAGGGGAAATAAGACTTGCACACAAATGCTTCACTACAAGGACGATAATGATGGCTGCCAGATGTTTGGGGAGAATTGAACAGAGCAAGGAAGGAACACAGAGTAAGGCAGCATTCCACAGTCAGCTAGGAGATGTGCATTCAGCAATTACAGGATGCAAGATGAAAATGGAGGAGAACAGCACCACCAGGGACACGTACAGGTGAAAAATCAGGTGGCACTATTTGTTACTTATCTCTCTTGTTGTTGTTGTTTGTTTGTTAGCTTTGTTTGGTTTGGGGCATGGAGTTTCTAATAAATAGCCTGAAATTAAAATTTAAAAATGGATGTAGTCTTGGTCAAAGACTGCCTGAGATGCGGGCGCTTAAAAACTAGCACTTGAGTTCCCATGTGTGCCTGTTTGTGGCTTCCTTTGCTGCTTCTTTCCCTTCCAAATTAGTTTGTGCTATCTTAACAGGATAGTATCTCCGGGGATTCCACCTTTTTTTTCCAGTATTGAAACAGAAGAACTAGAAGGGAATCTTTGGGGCTTCAAACAACAGAAAGAAAATACTATATAATTGAAAGAGTCGAGAGGCATTCTTTCTAACAGGCCTGGGTCCAGGAGCACAAATGTTTTAATGAAGCTCCAATCTCTTTCTTCCTCTCACTCTCTCACTTGATTTGTCTGTCTGTGTTGTCTGTCTCTGTCTCTTTATATTTATTTCTCTTCTTTTGAATTCAAATATCTCCCTGTTCATGTGGAAACTGCCGGCACAAAATATGACAGGGTTATACGCTCACAGCTGGGGGACTGGGAGAGAGAAGTAGGTGTCATCATTGTACACTATTGTACATGGTGTGCATTTACGTAGGAAGTCATCAAATGAAAGGGTGATTGATAGTTACACTGTGTACCAGGGCAGGTTTATATATGAATTACAGCATGGTTTTATGGAAGATCACAGTAAAACATCTTGTTCTTACAGAATCAGAATTGCATAACCATTTCCCAAAAGAGAATCATAAAGCATATTGAGGAAGGGGGACCATTTTTATCTGATTTGTACAGAAATATGTCTGTGTGGTATTTGGTAACCCTGAGTCTCCACTCTAGGTGCTCCATCTGGGGCTTAACTCTGAATGGCTCTGGTTGGGCTCTGTGCTCATCTTTGAACTCAGCACTTGGGCCAGAAGGATCTGATGCTCTGATTAGCCAGGCCTAGACTGTAGGAAATGGAATGGGTTCTCAAACCCAAGCTTTGAAATGTGCAGGGGTCTGTCCAAAAATAAATTGATGGAGTGTTCCACAGAAGGAGGAAAGTGGATATTCAGCAAAAGAAAACAAAACAAAAAGTCCTATACACCAGAAAATGTTGCTAATGATCTTTAGCTATCTTTGTGCTGGTTTTCTACACATAAAGGAACAGAGAACATTGGCCTAAAAAGAGCACCGTGGCCAAAGGGACATGGCCTATTTTAACAGAGGACTTGAGAGTTAAAAGATAACTTGGAGAGCATCCAGTTCAATCTCATCATTTTCCAGATGGGGAAACTAAAACTCAAGCAGGGGAATAGAAATGCCAAGGGCACACAGGTAGTTGGCGGCAGAGATAATAAACTACCCATCTTTTGTCCCTCCCAACTCCTCTTAAATGCAGTAATACTTTCCCATCATCAACAACAAACATCTGTGTCTGGTTTTCTTTCTGCCCTCAATTCTATGCAATATGGTTTTGGTGTGCTCCAACAGAAAGTCTCAGCAAGACTTGAGTTAATCTCCTTGACTCTACTCTAGTTCCCAAGGACAAAAATATTACATGTCCTTACATAGGAATGAGAGCCACTTGTTGCTTTAATGGGCCAAGTTTTGCAGGAGGGAACACCTATAATAAAGAGCTTCATAATTGCAGTTGCAACCTGCTTTGGCATCCAGACTTTACCCCAGGATCCCCAGCAGAGAAAGAGAAAGGCATTCCTAATCTACAGGGAGACTTATGTGTGTCCCTTTCTCCTAGCAGCACCTCTTCCCTGCTGTTTCCTAACCCGCAAAAGCTTGTCACCAGCTCAGAAATGTCTCTGGAAATAGGTAGGAGGGAGCCTTACACCTGTCAGAGCTAGAGAAGAAAGTGTGCTCTGCGGAGTTCTCAGTTCCATCTCTAGCGACAAAAAGAAGAAAAACAATGAGTCCGAGGTTTTTGACACAGAGCTGCTGGAGACTGCGGTCAGTGTAGCCAGCTATAGCCCTAGTAACCCCTAAATACCAATGATGCAATGCTATCTCTAACGTTTGCTCTTGGCTTCTACTTCCCTACAGGCTAGTCCAGTGTCTAGCCCTATGGATAGGATAAATGTCTAGGTAAATGTTTTTTAAATCATGAATCAGACTCCGGTGTGTTATAGGTTTTTCTTAGTAAAAACTAGCACAAGGATGAATCAGGAGTAAAGACTAGGTTATCCCAGTGCCACTCCTTCCCTGGCTTCTCCTCCTCCTCCTGGTTCCCTCGCGTTCTCCCAGAGGGAAGAGCCAAGTCTCCGAACCTAGGGACTGGGAGCAGTCAGCACCAGTCATCCCAGGCTCATCCCAAGACTGCTGCCACCTATACCCATAATGTTGGTGTGGGTGTAGGAGGACAAGAGGCTTCCACAGTGAGTTGGGGGCAAGAGCTCAGCCTTCGCCTGCGACCCGAAATCCCTAGATTCCTTGGGGACCATGAAACTCCCATTGCGAGGCAACCTCCCCCCTTCCCCGGCCGCCCACCCACTCCCCCCTTACCTCAGCACGCAGCCCCTCCCTGCGTGATGATGCAAACCAGTGGGGAGGGCGGGCGCTGGGAAGGGTGGGGAGAAAAGGAGAGCAGGCGAGGAAGGGAGGGAGAGAGTGGGAGGAGGAGAGGGAGCCGAACGACCATTTAAAGCGATAGCAGTCCCTGCCCTCTCCCCAGTGCTGGGCTGTTCGAGAGCACAAGCCGCAAGCCCCGGCGCGAGCGCGGCGCACTGGCAGGCGAACCCAAGAGCGCTAGGCGCCCCAGGCTGGCGGGCGCCCTGGGACCCCTCACCCTGTCTGGCTGCCCATCCTCGGGCGCCCCCACCTTCGGTGCCTGCAGAAGTCCCTGGGCTTCCCCAAAGGAGCTCACCTCTAGGGGCCCGGACCTCCGGGAGCCCACCACCATCCCCTCCAGTGCCGCCGCCGCCACCACAGCAGTCCGAGCAGCATGGTCCAGCTGGGGAAGCTGCTCCACGTCCTGACTTTGATGAAGTTCCCCTGCTGCGTGCTGGAGGTGCTCCTGTGCGCGCTGGCGGCGGCGGCGCGCGGCCAGGAGATGTACGCCCCGCACTCGATCCGGATTGAGGGGGACGTCACCCTTGGGGGGCTGTTCCCGGTGCACGCCAAGGGTCCCAGCGGAGTGCCCTGTGGCGACATCAAGAGGGAGAACGGGATCCACAGGCTGGAAGCTATGCTTTATGCCCTGGACCAGATCAACAGCGATCCCAACCTGCTGCCCAACGTGACGCTGGGCGCGCGGATCCTGGACACTTGTTCCAGGGACACTTATGCGCTCGAACAGTCGCTCACTTTCGTCCAGGCGCTCATCCAGAAGGACACCTCCGACGTGCGCTGCACCAATGGCGAGCCCCCCGTTTTCGTCAAGCCAGAGAAAGTAGTTGGAGTGATTGGGGCTTCGGGGAGTTCGGTCTCCATCATGGTAGCCAACATTCTGAGGCTTTTCCAGGTAGGGGGGGGGCGCTCCCTCGGGTTGGAACATGCTTTGGTTCTAGGCGCTTTTAGCTTTAATAGCTGGTTTGGACTCCAGGGTTGCGGGGTCAGGTCGGCCTTCCCGCATTTCCACTCTGGAAATCCCGCCGAATCCCTCCCTCTCCATCCTAGGAGGTTCCATCTCTCCCCTGTCCACGCTCCACTCCATCCGACTTGACATTCTGGATTTATGGCCCCATTTACAAGAAGCAATCTGCGAAAAACAAGGCGATGATTTAAATGGGTTTGCATTAGAGTGAAATATGGTCCGAAAACCGGCTGGTAAAAGTGCTGGGCTCCTAGAAAAGCAGGTTAGGCGCATGGATATGAAAGATGAGAAGATGCCTAGAAACTGGGCATTTCCTAACTCCCTAGCGTCCCACCTGGAGCCACCTAAGAAACCTCAAGTTCTTTGGAAAATTTTGAGACGACCTTAAGGAGGCATTTCTTAAACTGAGGGGTCAGCTAGATGTGGATGTTAATAGCTTTTCTTTCTCGGGTTGGATTTCCGACCTGTAGCCAGTCTTCAACAGAGCCAGGGGCAAGATACGTGGGGGAACCTCCCCAAACGTGGAGATGCCACCTGCAGACGTGACCCCCCAATTGATTTCCTCCGGGCAATTTTTTTTTTTTTTTTTTGCACCATCTAAATTGCATTTGCAGTTCCGCCACTGGCAGGAGCTGGACGATCAGCTTTCTACTCTTGCCACTTAAGACCTCAGCCCAGAGATGAGCTCATGCTAACTGCGAAACAAAATAGCTTTCACTGCCTGCTCCCTCCGCCCCCTCGCCTTCCACCTCCCTAATTCAGCCCCCAACCCCAATCCTGGACTCTGATCTCAAAGGAAGATTCTCAGAGCAAGGCAAGAATGCGCCTGGGGCGGTGGGGTGCGCTTAGCAGGGACCCGAGGTTCTACTCCGGGTTCCCGAGAGCCGTGGCAAAAATTGGAGGAAGGCAGATCCGGGACTGATGAGCGGTGGGTTCTACCGCAGTGCTCTCTCGCCTCCTGTTCCTGCAGCCTCTGCCCCGGGGCTCCAGTGCTGCATTGGGTAAAAATGGATAGCTTTGAGCTTCAGAAAATGAGTTTCAGAGTCTCGGCGACAGAGGGATCTCTTCTCCGTGTTTCTTCCTGTATGTGCATCTATCTCTGTCTCCTTGCTCTGTTTTCCCTCCCTTTATTATTTATTCTCCCCCTCAACCTCTGTTTTTCTCAAGAATCCTTTCTCAGTTGTAAGTTCTACATTCATCTCTGTCTTGATATGGCCCTTTCTTAATGAAAGGTTCTCTGTGCTTAATGGTACCCAAGCCTGGTTAATCCCTTCCCCAGATGTGCTTGATGTTCCTGGCACCATTATGCTGTCCAAATCTGAGAAATTGTCTCTTTCTTAAGAGTTTTCTCTAAGGGTGTGGGTTTCAGGAGGGGACTCCTTGTCAAACTCAGGATGTCACTGCTCACCTCCTTGGGTGCAAAGTTTGTTTTCAAGAAGGGGGGGCATTCATCCAAGGGGGCAGCCTGGCATGGCCCCTCTGGTCCTTAGAACAACCCTGATGCCTCCTGAGTGTACCAGTATAGACAGTCTCTAGATGTTTGTAAACCTTAAGTGCTTTGGGGTTAGATTAAATCTGGGTTGCTTGCTTTGGGGGAAGAACCTGGGGTTTTATAATCAAAACCCAGAAGTACTTCCCTTATCTCTGAGCTCAGTGCTGGACAACTTGAGAGAGCAGTGCTTGGGGTGATAATAGCATTTTCCTCTCATTCCTGGGGCTTGAAGGCACATTTTGTATTTAGCATTTTCAAATCATTTTGCTGCCTGTTTGTCTCTTCACTCAGAGCATTGGGCCCACTGCAGATGGACCTGTGGGTCTGAAAAAAGGGAGACACGTTGAAGTCAAGAAAGCCTTTGCAGGTTAAGCTCAGAACTGTTTGCTGGAAAAGATTACAGCAGGAACCAATTCCTCATCTTAGTGTTAGAACCTGAGGCAACTTATGGAAACAAACAGCTGATCTTACAATCAGTTTCCCCATTCCCTGAGCCTGAGAGAAGAGGAACTGAATGCCAGTGTGTGCAGTGTGGGTTGGGACTAAAACATTCAAAGAAAACACTGTCATTCCTCTAATTTGCAAATTGCAGCTATTCATCATGTTGGATTGAACAGCTGAGGGGAAAAGAGCCCCCCGTTTTCACCTGCATTTTATTGAGAAGAGGTTGCACTAACTTGTAGCTTGTGTTGCAAGCTAGATAGCCATTAGTTAGCCATTGCCCAAGTTGATGTGTGAGTGTATATGTGTGTGTGTGTGTGTGTGTGTGTGTGTGTGTTTCTTTCCCAGTGGTTTTTTTTTTTTTTTTGCATGTGATTTCAGAAGCTCCTAGCATGCAAGTCCAGCCCCCAGCTTTCCAGCTTCTGACAGCCTGCAAAATGAGTAAGGAGAATAATGGTGCACGGACCCCATTGTTCATAAACACAATCAGAGAATGAAGAAAAAGAGAATAAGTGAATCTTCTCTGGGATTCCAGGGTTCAGCTCAATTAAAATTGTCCTATAGAAAATAAATTCCTCCAAATGATTGAATTCTTTACAATGATTTGAGTATTCTTTTTCCCTCTGATCCCTCTGGGTTGCTGGGGTGTGAGGTGAAGCCAAACTAATCAATTGAGGTATAAATCTATGGTGAGCTAAGTCTCTAGCTTGGGAGAGGAAATTCTCTGGGACTAAAGTGTGGGGGTGTTGGGGAGCAGGAGAGAGTAATGAGATAGCAATAGATGTAACAGCTGCTGCTGCTGCTGCCACTGGCAAAGCATTGGGATGAAGTTCTTTGCTGAAAGTGAGGACCTGGGTTTGAATGACTACTCAGATGTAAATAGTGTCTTTGACTTGTAATTCTCATTTGCCCCTTCCTGTTCTGGTCCAAAGATAACCCAAAGATAGGAGCTGAGCAACTGCCCCCTCTCTCTCTCTGCTCTACAGCCACACTGAATAGGTTAGTAAATGACATGGCTGAGAACAGGAATCATATCCAGTGGGTCTTCCAAATCCAGGAATTTGAGGCTAATGAAATTAGTGTGTGGCCAGGGCTCTGCCAAGTAGAATTAAATCAGTACCACTGCCTTGCAATGCATTTTCAGCCTGGAAGCATCAGGGAGGAATTTCTGGAGATTTGTATTTGAGCCTGTGCAAAATAATACTCTCTTAATGCTAAGAAAGATTAAACATAAATTAATATTGACTATGAGTAACATATTTTGAGAAAATAATCACATAGTGGGGATGGCTTACAGTTGAGAGGTTATATAATTTGGTGACCAAAGAATAAATCTCCTCTGACCACTGTTTTATGGGTTGTAAATAAGATATATTATACTGGGAAGTAATGGGAACATTTTTATTCAAGGCTCCTCTGTTATTGACTTGAGAGCAAACACTATGACAGTATAAATAACTTTTGCTACATCTGATTTTGAATGAACAGTATTTTACATGTAGTGACATGGATCAGAGTATAGACTTGGAATTGAATAGCATCTCTTCCACTTGTCCTCTCCCCCAAACTAACTAGATGGAAATAATGGTCAACTGTATCCTTATGGGAGCATATGCAAATATAAGACCGTACCAAAATTGACATACATTTGTAAATGTGTTAATATTTTTTTCATCTGCTCATTGAAAAAAATACAATGTCAAACTTCTAGGATAGTATTTTATACATAAGTGCTTACACTTTCCCTTCCTTTCTACCCAGCTCCCACTCTTCTCTCTCTCCCCCTGTTCTCTCTCTTATGTAATAGAACAGAACTCAGCTCCTGGGGTAATGTGGTATTACTATAGTGGGGAATTTTTTTTAAAGGCAACTCTATCCTACATATTTTTTAAATTGCATAAATATAGGTGTCACTGCCATTTGGAATAATCTGTATAACAATCTCTGACTCTACATTTACTGGGTTTTAGGAAATTTACCTAACAGATGGTGAGTGGGAACTTTTTAAAGGGGCATTTTTTAAAAGAGCAGAGAGGGAAGGAATGAAGACATGCACCTGCTATATTTGAAGAGACTTCCTTGTGTATTTTATGTATATGCAACCCATATAATTAGGATGTCTTTGGGCATTTTTCCCCTGGGGAATAATTGAAGCAATGAGCAAGTTTACTTCAGTTTCACAAATGTTTGGAGTTTTGGCAAACGACAACTGCTCTATTTTTTGTACCTACCTGCAGATTATGTCTTATTAGATATAAAACACCATAGGTAGGTTACAGAGTATTCTGTAGTCTTTCTTAATCCTGCCATCATCAGGAAGTTAAGTTACCCTCAATAAGTCACTTAATTATTCTTCACTCATCTACTTCATTTGACTTTTCTCTTTAAAAAATGTAGTTTCTAATTACATATATAGAGCATAATTTTTCATATCTCTGGTTGTATACAGAGTATATTCACACCAATTAATGTCTTCATACATGTGCTTTGGATAATATTGCCCATCACATTCCACCATCATTTTTAACCCCTGTGCCCCCCTCCCTTTCCCTCCCACCCCTCTGCCCTATCTAGAGTTTGTCTATTCCTCCCATGCTCCCCCTCCCTACCCCACTATGAATCAGCCTCCTTATATCGCTGTCATATGTAAATTTTAAAAATTAATTAAAAATGTAGTTTCTAGGAGTGTCTCCTCTTTTTCTTTAGATTGGAGAAAATTTGCTCTTATCGAAACCTTCAGACACATCTTTCCAGTTCCCTGTTAGAACTTTCAGTGAGTTTGGGAGAATTTAAAAGGGTATTTTCACATAGCTGACTTGGTCGTTATTTACTAATTTCCCATATTGAGACTTTTCGGGAATTCTTTTATCAATCTGCTCCTCCATCATATAGATCAAGGATGGTGGTAGAGAAAGTGACCTTGTGGGAGCTAACTATGTGGTCAAGACAGGGTAGGAGAACTCTGGAGTTTACAGTTTCATCTATCCAGTGTTCC